TTTTGGGGCTGAGTTCAGGGCAGTTTTTGGGGCAGTTTTTGGGGTGATTTGGGGCAGTTTTGGGTCCCACCTGGGTGGCTCTGCGCGCCTGCCTCACCAGGCGGCTCCGGGCCCTGGGCTGGATTTTGGGGTGAATTCAGGGGATTTTGGGGCAGTTTTGGGCTGATTTCGGAGTTGTTTTTTGGGTGATTTTCAGGGTGATTTGGGGGTGATTTTTGGGCTGATTTTGGGGTGATTTCCGGGGTTTTTGGGGCAGTTTTTGGGTGGATTTGTGTGGTGATTTTGCCTGACTTTGGGGCAGTTTTGGGGTGATTTTGGGGTGATTTCCGGGCTGATTTTGGGGTGATTTCCGGGGTTTTTGGAGCAGTTTGAGAGCAGTTTTTGGGGTGAATTCAGGGGATTTTGGGGCTGATTTCCTGGCGGTTTTTGGGGCACTTTTGGGGCAGTTTTGGGGTGATTTTGGGGAGATTTCTGGGGTTTTTGGAGCAGTTTGAGAGCAGTTTTTGGGGTGAATTCAGGGGATTTTGGGGCTGATTTCCTGGCGGTTTTTGGGTGATTTTGGGGCAGTTTTTGGGGCAGTTTTTGGGCTGATTTCGGGGCTGGTTTTGGGGCAGTTTTGGGGTGATTTTGGGGTGATTTCCGGGGTTTTTGGAGCAGTTTGAGAGCAGTTTTTTGGGGTGAATTCAGGGGATTTTGGGGCAGTTTTTGGGGCTGAAGTTCAGGCAGTTTTTGGGGCAGTTTTTGGGGTGATTTGGGGCAGTTTTGGGTCCCACCTGGGTGGCTCTGCGCGCCTGCCTCACCAGGCGGCTCCGGGCCCTGGGCCGGATTTTGGGGCAGTTTTTGGGGTGAATTCAGGGGATTTTGGGGCAGTTTTTGGGGCAGTTTTTGGGGCAGTTTTGGGGCAGTTTTTGGGGTGAATTTGGGTGTTTTTGGGATCACCTGGGTGGCTCTGCGCGCCTGCCGCATCAGGCGGCTCCGGGCCTTGCGCTGCGACTCCGACTCCTCGTCCCGGGCCGGGGGCTGGAACCGGCGGTTTTTGGGGCAGTTTTGGGGCAGTTTTTGGGGTGAATTTGGGTGTTTTTGGGATCACCTGGGTGGCTCTGCGCGCCTGCCGCATCAGGCGGCTCCGGGCCTTGCGCTGCGACTCCGACTCCTCGTCCCGGGCCGGGGGCTGGAACGGCCTGGGGGGGTTGGGGCACAAATGGGGGTTTTGGGGAGAAAAAAGGGGATTTTGGGAAAAAAATGGGGATTTGGGAAAAAAAATGGGGATTTGGGGGAGAAAAAATGGGATTTTGGGGAGAAAATGGGGATTTGGGGAAAGAAAATGGAATTTCAGGGAAAAAAAATGGGATTTTGGGTAAAAAAAAGGGGATTTTGAGGAGAAAAAATGGGATTTTGGGGAGAAAAAAGGGGATTTGGGGAAAAAAATGGGGATTTGGGGAGAAACAATGGGGATTTGGGGAAAAAATGGGGATTTGGGGGAGAAAATAGGGATTTTGAGAAAAAAAATGGGGATTTTGGGGAGAAAAAAATGGGATTTTGGGGAGAAAATGGGGATTTTGGGAAAAAAAATGGAATTTCAGGGAAAAAAAATGGGATTTTGGGGAAAAAATAGGGATTTTGAGGAGAAAAAATGGGATTTGGGGAAGTTTGGGAGGGATTCGAGGTGATTTTGGGTAAGAAAAGGGGATTTTGGGGAGAAAAAATGGAGATTTGGGGTAAAAATAGGGATTTTGGGGAGAAAATTGGGATTTTGGGGAGAAAAATTGGGATTTTGGGGAGAAAAAATGGGATTTGGGGGAAGTTTGGGAGGGATTTGGGGTGATTTTGGGTAAAAAAAGGGGATTTTGGGGGGTCATGGGGGGATTTGGGAGGGTATCTGGGGAATCTTGGGGGTTTTGGGGGTCCCAGGGGAATTTTGGGGGTCCCAGGGGGGATTTAGGTCCTGGGGGGATTTGGGGAGAATCTGGATTAATTTGGGGTTTTGGGGTGAATTTCTGTGGTTTTGGGGGTGGTTTTTGGGTGTTTGGGGGCAAATTTCATCTGAATTTGGGGATTTTGGGGTGAATTTGGGGGTTTGGGGACGATTTTGGTCCGAATTTGGGGATTTTGGGTGGAATTTGGGGGTTTTGGGGTGAAATTGGGGATATTGGGGTGAGTTTTGGGTGTTTGGGGGCAAATTTCATCTGAATTTGGGGATTTTGGGGGGAATTTGGGGGGTTGGGGACGATTTTGGTCCGAATTTGGGGATTTTGGGTGGAATTTGGGGGTTTTGGGGTGAAATTGGGGATATTGGGGTGAGTTTTGGGTGTTTGGGGGCAAATTTGGCCCAAATTTGGGGATTTTGGGGGAGATTTTGGGTGGAATTTGGGATTAATTTGGGGGTTTTGGGGTGAATTTGGGGATTTTGGGGTGAGTTTTGGGTGTTTGGGGGCAAATTTGGCCCAAATTTGGGGATTTTGGGTGGAATTTGGGGGTTTTGGGGTGCATTTGGGATTTCTGGGGTGAATTTTGGGTGTTTGGGGGCGAATTTGGTCCGAATTTGGGGATTTTGGGTGGAATTTGGGGGTTTTGGGGTGCATTTGGGATTTCTGGGGTGAATTTTGGGTGTTTGGGGGCGAATTTGGTCCGAATTTGGGGATTTTGGGTGGAATTTGGGTGGTTCTGGGGTGAATTTGTGCATTCGGGTCGTTTTTGGGGTGAATTTGGGGTGATTTTCGCTGCTTTGAGGTAATTTTGTGTGGTTTTGGGGGGATTTTGGGGTGTTCTGTGCGGTTTTGGGGTGAACCCGTACGCTTCTGGCACGTTTTTGGGGTGAATTTGTGTGATTTTGGTCTGACCTTGGTGGTTTTGGTGCTACTCCGAATGTTTTTGGGGCGTTTCGAGGTTTTTTTGGTGTTTTTTGGGTGACTGGGTGTTTTTGGGATGCTTTTGGGATGTTTTTGGGGTTCTTTTGTGTCTTCTTGGGACGTTTCTCTGGTTTTTGGGGTGTTTCTGTAGATTTTGGGGCGTTTTTGAGGTAATTTTGTGTGGTTTTGGGGTGTTTCTCTGTTTTTGGGGTGCCTTTGTGTGGTTTTGGGGCGATTTTGGGCTGGTTTTGTGTATTTCTGGCCTGTGGTTTTTGGGGCGCCTTTGGGTGGTTTTGTGCATTTTTGGGCTGTCTCTGGGCATTTTTAGGCTGTTTCTGTGTTTTTCGGGGTGCCTCTGTGTGGTTTTGGGGTGATTTTGGGCTGTTTCTGTGTTTTTCAGGGTGCCCTGGCGCATTTTTGGGGTGTTTTTCAGGTAATTTTGTCTATTTTTGGGCTGTTCCTATGCATTTTGGAGCTGGTTCTGTGTGTTTTGGGCTGTTTCTGTGTGGTTTTGGGGGGATTTTGGGCTGTTTCTGTGTATTTTTGGGGTATTTCTGTGTATTTTGGGGCCTTCTGTATTTTTGGGCTGTTCCTGTGTATTTCTGGGCTGTTTCTCTGTGTATTTTTGGGGTGTTTTTGAGGTAATTTTGTGTATTTTGGGCTGTCTCTGTGTATTTTGGAGTGTTTCTGTGTATTTTTGGTGTATTTTGGGGCCGTTTCTGTGTATTTTGGGGTATTTCTCTATATTTTTGGGCTGTTTCTGTGGGTTTTGGGGTAATTTTGGGGCTGTCTCTGTGTATTTTGGGGTATTTCTCTATATTTTTGGGCTGTTTCTGTGGGTTTTGGGGTAATTTTGGGGCTGTCTCTGTGTATTTTGGGGCCGTTTCTCTGTATTTTTGGGGTGTTTTTGAGGTAATTTTGTGGTTTTTGGGCTGTTTCTGTGCGTTTTGGGGTGATTTTGGGGCTGTCTCTGTGTATTTTGGGGTATTTCTGTGTATTTTGGGGCCGTCTCTGTGTATTTTTGGGCTGTTTTTGAGGTAATTTTGTGTATTTTTGGGCAGTTTCTGTGCGTGTTGGGGTCTCACGTGCAGCTGGCGCCGCTGCAGCTCCTCCAGCAGGGGCAGGGTCTCCTCGTCCGCCAGGTCACAGGGACGCTGCCCCTGGGGGGGCACGGGGCTGACCCAAAACCCCCCCAAATCCCCCCAAAAACCGCCCAAAACACACCCTGAAATCCCCCCGAAAATCCCCCCAAAAAACACCCCAAAATCCCCCCAAAAACCGCCCAAAACCAACCCAGAAATCACCCCAAAATCCCCCCAAAAAACATCCCAAAATCCCCCCCAAACAATGCAAAAATCACATTTATCACAGGAAAATCCCATTTATTCTGTTAAATCCCGCCGCCAGCAGCAGCCTGGGCCCAAAAAAATCACAGTTATCACAGGAAAATCCCATTAAAATAACATTTATCCCTTTAAAATCCCATTTATTCTGTTAAATCCCACCGCCAGCAGCAGCCTGGGCACAGAAAAATTACATTCATCCCATTAAAATCACATTTATTCTGTTAAAATCCCATTACAATCCCATTTATCCCATTAAAATCCCATTTATTCTGTTAAATCCCGCCGCCAGCAGCAGCCTGGGCACAGAGAAATTACATTTATTGCATTAAAATCCCATTTATTCTGTTAAATCCCGCCACCAGCAGCAGCCTGGGGCAAAAAAAGTTACATTTATCCCATTAAAATCCCATTAAAATCCCATTTATCCCGTTAAAATCCCATTTATCCCATTAAAATCCCATTTATTCTGTTAAATCCCGCCACCAGCAGCAGCCTGGGGCAAAAAAAGTTACATTTATCCCATTAAAATCCCATTAAAATCCCATTTATCCCGTTAAAATCCCATTTATCCCATTAAAATCCCATTTATTCTGTTAAATCCCGCCACCAGCAGCAGCCTGGGGCAAAAAAAGTTACATTTATCCCATTAAAATCCCATTAAAATCCCATTTATCCCGTTAAAATCCCATTTATCCCATTAAAATCCCATTTATTCTGTTAAAATCCCATTACAATCCCATTTATCCCACTAAAATCCCATTTATTCCGTTACAATCCCGCTGCCAGCAGCAGCCTGGGACACAAAAATCACATTTATTCCACAAAAATCACAGTAATATCACATTAAAATCACACTAATTTTGTTAAAATCCCATTAAAGTCCATTTATTCTGTTAAAATCCCATTTGTTAGGGTGAAGTCCCTCCAAAATCCCCATTTTTCCCCTTAAAATCCCCATTTTTTGCCCAAAATCCCCGTTTTTTGCCCCAAACCCTGGTTTTTGTCACCTCATGACCTCGCTGTGTCCCTTGGTGGTCGCCACGTGCGGCCCCGGTGGGTACAGCCCCAAAACACCCAAAATCCCCCAAAAAAACCCAAAAAAACCCCAAAACCATCCAAAACCCCCCAAAAAACCCCTAAAATCCCCAAAACGACCCATTTTTCCCCAAAAAACCCCCATGTTTTCCCCTTTAAATCCCCATTTTTCCCCCCAAAATCTCCAACTTTCCTCCTAAAAATCCCCATTTTTGCCCCTAAAACTCCCGTTTTTTCCCCAAAAATCCCCATTTTTTTTCCCAAATTCCTTGGTTTTTTTCCCAAACCCCAATTTTTTTTGCCCAAATTCCCCGTTTTTCGCCCCAAACGCTGTTTTTTGTCACCTCATGACCTCGATGTAGCCCTTGGCGGCCGCCACGTGCAGCGCGCTGGCGCCGGTGGCCGGGTGGGGGCAGTCCCGGAGCTGCCCCGAGTCCAGCCAGAGCCGCGTGTCCCGCAGCATGCGCTGCTCTTCTGCTCTCTTAGCATCGGCCACGGCCACACCTGGCACAGGTGAGACACACCTGAGTACAGGTAAACACACCTGGGCACACCTGGGTACACCTGGGCACAGCCTGACCCTATCCCTGCCCAGCCAGAGCCGCGTGTCCCGCAGCATGCGCTGCTCCTCTGCTCTCTTGGCATCGGCCACGGCCATACCTGGGACAGGTAACACACCTGAG